GAGAGAGAGAGAGAGAGAGAGAGAGAGAGAGAGAGAGAGAGAGAGAGAGAGAGAGAGAGAGAGAGAGAGAGAGAGAGAGAGAGAGAGAGAGAGAGAGAGAGAGAGAGAGAGAGAGAGAGAGAGAGAGAGAGAGAGAGAGAGAGAGAGAGAGAGAGAGAGAGAGAGAGAGAGAGAGAGAGAGAGAGAGAGAGAGAGAGAGAGAGAGAGAGAGAGAAGAGATGTGAGATAAGAGGGGAAGGGGTGGGGTGCGAGGGGGGTTGGGTGGGGGAGGGGAGAGAGGCAGAGAGGAGATAAGATAGACAGCTAAAACTACTAGAATGCCCATGTCACGTCAGCACCCTTAACGGTTTTGTGGACAGAAATGGACGGAAGTGGTAAAGTGAGAAAATTGAAGCAAAACTTTTAGAGATTCTAGGGGTTAAGTGAGAAAATTTCAGTTTAATAGGGTAAAGTGAGACCAAACGTCCGTTTTAGAGAGTGAAACAATAAATAAGCCTTTTTTTAATATAGCAAAATAATCAACCATTTAATTAATCACTTAATCACTATTGCAAATTCATCATGAATATTAGCCAAGGAGGACCATCGTGCAACCAAAATTACAAATTTGTTGAAATTACAAGCACAAGAATTAAAGTGGAGGAGTCTAAAGTAAAGACTACTCTACACTAAGAAACAAAAAAAAAATGTAATTCCACCAAAATTGATAGGGCCTCACAAACCCTAGACACAACAAATTTTCAATGCTGAATCATAATTTCGGCATAGTCAATAAATCCCAAGATTATCAAATCTTGAGAGTGATTATCACTTGAATTCATATATTAAAGTCAAAAAATGGTTATCCAAGACAAGACAACTAATGAAAAGGCCATCAAACAAGTTTGAAAATCTGCAACCAAATCGATTAAATTCAACTTGCTGACACAACAACCGGGACCCAACACCAAAAAGCAAAAACAATAACAATAACAAAAAAAATTATAAAAAAATTATAAATTTTTTTTTAAAAAGAAATATCTAGAAAGAAGGTGTATATTTGCTCGTGCTTATTCATAAGCTGCTTAATCTTTATCACGTTAAAAAGTGATAAGCAACAAGCAACATGTTTCAATAGGAAAGAGCCGTGCCTGAATTTCATAGCAGCAGCTGCTTTTCACATGCACTTATTATAAAAGCGAATCTGGACTTCAAGTCTAACCCTATACACAGCTAGGGTTTAGCTTTGAAAATTATGCATGAAAATGACTGGTTGAATGCGAACAAAGAAAAAAAATATAGAAAAATTGTAGCTTTAAGCATGACATTGACTTTAAGTTGTCTCCTTGGACATAAGCCACCCACCACCATGGATCCACTTGAGCACTCATAATATTTAAAACATGTCTTTTGATCTGATAAAAATATCGCAACTTGCCAGATCTGGTATAGTTTAGTTCAAAGTTTGTCGAATTCGTGTGGAGTTATGCACTGGCTGAAGTGGGAAAAAGTTGTTGCCAACATTGAGTTCCACATTAGAATACATGGAATGTGTCATGATCCGCTCTATTAAAATATAAACTCTCTATTTAAATACAAGGTTTTAAGATGACATATACGTATGTAACTTCGCCATCTACTCGGTGTTAAAAGCCCTACAAGATTATCGTGTATCAAGGGGATTTGAACTTATCATTTCAATTATAAAAAAAGAAATATTATTAGATTAAGAGCTAGTTGGTGTACGAGACGAAGATGAAAAAAATTAAAATACTTCAACATGTTAAGAAAGAACCGGTTCATTAATTAACGTCTTGAGCACTCAAAATTTCATGGAAACAAGGTTTAAGGGAAACCAGGAAAAACAAGAAAAACTTGCCAATGTTTCTTATTTTAATTTTATTAATTATGATGTTTTGAAAAATCAAAGAAATTGATAAGGTTTACAGGTGTACCCAAAAACCAATTCAAACAACTATTGGTTGCAAACTTAAATACAGAAATACTTTGAAATTGCTTGACGTATAAGTTATACCTTATAAATCATGTAAAACAAGTTTATTAATGCCTCAAATCATGCGCATTTTAACTGATTTCTTGTTTTAATGATACTTCTTTTCTCAGTGTTATAGAAGAAGTTTCAAATTTGAATCCCACGACCCGAATCAAAATCCTGTAAGTACACATGAAATTAACGTGCCAGCACCTTGACTAATAATCTATTGATGCATGCATCCTCAAGAATTAATGAAGATTAATCCGAGTGTTTAAAAACCAGATTTCTTTTTGAGTGTTTTTTTCCCCCTCTTTATGTAGAACTTTCTGGTGTGGCCCTCAAACCAGAATGTCCATGTACTCTGAACTAAGAGCGTCCACTACAAATTTAAGCTTGACTGGACCGGCTGCTTCTAGCTCTTAGCACCAAAGGAACTCCTGGTCATATTTGGCAATTTTTAGCATAGAAATTTATTTGTCCATTGCACCCAATAATTCTATTCTAATAAATAAATAATATAATAATTTAAAACAGAACATAATTGGAGAAAAAATGTATTTGTTCAGGCCAAATCGACTGGCTGCAAAATGAAGTCCACAAGACCAAAAAACTCCTCATTATTCACTCCAATTATTTTCTCTCTTCTTTTTTTTTTTTTTTAAATCCAAGACGATGACATTTTTAATTAATTTTGTCCTATTTTTCCCTTATTCAACCCCATTTTCATTCTCATTCGTTGATATTAGGGTAGGTCGTCCATACTTTTCAGCTTTTAATCATAGAAAATTTAGGATAAGTCCAAAATTAAGAACATAAGTTGGATTTAATTGTCGCATTTATTGTCATTGATATAATTCCATTAAATTTTCTGCCAAATAGGATTACATTCCTTTTTTGTATTTTCTAATGTAGAAATTTTTTTTTTATAAAAAAAACTAACTGTTTACTTCAATTAATGTCTCACAAATATCTTACCATACTTCTATCACTACCATCTCCATGGCCAAAACCTTTAAAAAAAACTTTGCTATTACCTAGAATAAAAATATTGACCGTGCAGATAATATCAGTTCTTAAATTTACAGATATATTGACCCGTATTTTGACTACCAATCGTGACTACCAATTTGTCCAGGGTTAGTACATAGCTAGGTTAATTAGAGTTTATTTTGGTTAGATTTAATTTAATTAGGGATTTAAAACACTTACTAGCGTTGGGGGATGTCATCCTTACTTGTTCTTCCTCTTCTTTATTTTGGATCAATATTAATGAAAATTAAGTATGGGTTCCTCTATTAAAGGCCGATATCATGAAAACCCTGTGCTATAGCCTACGTGGGGTATTTTTTTAAGCCCAAAATATCTAATACAGCCCCACCCGAGCCTACTCCTAACACCCCTTCAAGTAAGGTAGTTTATCCCATTTTGAAATTCTGGAACCGTCTATATATATATATATAATTTATTTGAGGGACACCCTTGTAGGAAGCACTCTGTATTGTATTTCATTAATCCAAATCGTCTATTTTGTAGATACTCATTCAAAGATCATCTCTACAAAAAATCACTTGAATCCGATATCATTAGACCACTCAATTGAATTATTGAAATTTTAGTACTTTCTTAAAGCACCGTGTTCATTGATTTTGTAGGACACAATTGGATATCGAAACGGTTTCCAATTTGTCTAATTTTTTGCAAGGATAATATATGAATGTAGACTTAAAAAAGAGATGGTTTTAATCGTTGAAAAAATATTTGTAGGGGATCCTAAAGGGTGTCTCTCAAATAAAATTATTCGAGGGATCCCCTAATAAAAGGGGACTGATATATATATATATATATATATATATATAATAGGGTTAATTTGGAAGATATTTTCATAATTGGCTACTCTCCATTTTCCTTTAAGTCGGGCCATACATATGTTTTACGGTCAAATTAAGTCCTCAAAAAGTAGCCAAAAAGAAGTGGACAATCACGCATATATCATGTTTGTTGGAACATCAAACTCGCAAAAAGAAACCACATACAAAAAAACAAAATGGAACACCCAAAAATTTGGTGAAAAACAGTCGTGCAGAAAATTAACAACTCATAAAAACAGTAGAGCCATGTTTCAAAGACGTCGATATCAAAGACAGCCTCACGTGAAAATGACGTGTTGTGTTGTGTTGTGCTGTGAGGAGGAGGATGACTGTATCCAACAATGTCACGCTTCTTTTTACCCTAAAGCCTGAGCCCGTCCCGTTCTAATTAGTCCAGTCAATCCAATCCATCTACATGTTTCCTTCCTGTACATTTCCTTCTCACTTACTCAGTCGACCAATTTTCCCGTGAACAGCTGGAGCTCTTTGTCTTAGTTTCCACGTACCTTTCCACATGTAATCCTAGCCGTTCATGTAATCTTGCCACCTCTATATATATCCCCCCCACTCCTATTTCCTCCCCACCTTCGAACAAACACTTCATCTTTTTGTTCCTCCAATAATATTTGATTCTTTCTCTCTCTCTCTCTCTCTCTCTCTCTCTCTCTCTCTCTCTCTCTCTCTCTCTCTCTCTCTCTCTCTCTCTCTCTCTCTCTCTCTCTCTCTCTCTCTCTCTCTCTCTCTCTCTCTCTCTCTCTCTCTCTCTCTCTCTCTCTCTCTCTCTCTCTCTCTCTCTCTCTCTCTCTCTCTCTCTCTCTCTCTCTCTCTCTCTCTCTCTCTCTCTCTCTCTCTCTCTCTCTCTCTCTCTCTCTCTCTCTCTCTCTCTCTCTCTCTCTCTCTCTCTCTCTCTCTCTCTCTCTCTCTCTCTCTCTCTCTCTCTCTCTCTCTCTCTCTCTCTCTCTCTCTCTCTCTCTCTCTCTCTCTCTCTCTCTCTCTCTCTCTCTCTCTCTCTCTCTCTCTCTCTCTCTCTCTCTCTCTCTCTCTCTCTCTCTCTCTCTCTCTCTCTCTCTCTCTCTCTCTCTCTCTCTCTCTCTCTCTCTCTCTCTCTCTCTCTCTCTCTCTCTCTCTCTCTCTCTCTCTCTCTCTCTCTCTCTCTCTCTCTCTCTCTCTCTCTCTCTCTCTCTCTCTCTCTCTCTCTCTCTCTTTCAAGGTTTAGCCAAATACATGGCAATGGCCTGCTTGAATGTTTGCAAAGGCGACCAGGTTAGTGAATGTATACCATATTGTATATATTAAAGATATATATATATATGCTACCTTTCCATATCTCTGTGTGGTGCATGCAGCAGTTGTGTGTGTGAAAACACGTGTATATGAAGATCAAAGATCTTAATTTACATATGTGATGTTATGCATACGCAAAAAAGAAAATCTTAATTATATATAATAGTTCTGTAAGATAGCTGTAATGTAAAACGAAAGTGCACTGATAACAAAGATATATATCACTGAAAAAACCATTTTTATGTGAAGCCCAGCACTACAAGCCCTAATTAGCCTATAAGGAATAGAATTCCGTGGAGCTAAACCAATATGGACAAGGAAATTACAAAACGAAATGGAGAAGGAATCCTACTTACTCCCTACAATAAGAGATCTTGTCATCCTCTGTATATGCAGCCCTCACTCCTACTTCCTCCCTACCTTCGAACAAACACTTCATCATCTTGTTCCTCTCTCTCTCTCTCTCTCTCTCTATATATATATATATATATGATGATGATTTCTGACGAGTGATGTTACATGTATCACATTTACTGATTATTTTAGAAATTGATGACTAACATGCATATTAATTGAGGCATAAAAATCGTATATACGGCAACTCGTTGAAGTTTTGCATGCCTCTATGATCAGTGGGTAGTGAATGATATTCTAGGAGTGAGACGGCAGATGGTTCCAAAAAAAGAATAAGGATCTTAATTATATATAATAGTTCTGTAAGATTCACTTGGTAAGAGATGGAGTACTAGTGTAAAACGAAAGTGCACTCATGACTAAGATATCACTGAATTCAAATTGTATTTGAAAGCCTAAAATGACACGGTGCATTATTCATGAGTGCTAAGATACAGATATTACCTTTTCCTTCTTCATCTCCATTAATTTGTTTTTTTCTCGTTCTTGGTATATTAATTACCTTTTCTACGTGATAATTTAACAATATAACATGTCAAATTGTAACACCATCGAAATTTGGTCATTAGGGGTTTTTAGCAGAGTGCGTATCAAAATCATTGATTTGAACATAAATAAATATTGCATTTAGATGGATAATTTATAGTGCTAATTTATTGTCACAAATTCAAATTTTCAGGAATATGTTGAGGAAAAGAACCAAAAGATCAAAGAAGTTTGTACCTTAGATGGAACCACTGATTGGTACGGTCGTCCTGCAGTCCGAGGGAGAACTGGAACATGGGTTGCTGCAACTCTCATATTAGGTATTTAACCCTATCCTTAATTATACTAATTATCAACACGATTAGTTTAACTATCTATTTTGCTTTATCTCGTTCTGAGTTAGTTGTTTGGATGAAAGACGATCATGTTTGGTTGTCTTCCATTTTAAACGATGATGTAATATTTTCTAAATTAATACAATTTACGAGGTTCCTATAAAAGAAAATTGAATTTTATGTATTTGTGAAGAAATTTTATTATCTGATTAGTTGGACAACCAAAATCATGTGATACTTTTGAGGTGTTTTCTCTTTTCCTTTCTAATGATGTGATACTTATGATTTATAATAGATGACTTTAGCTAAAATCAAATCAACAATAGCTGGTTTTTTTGACTTCTAAGCACAACTAGTTTGCCCAAGTGGTCCAAGGAGAAGGGTGGGGGGATGGATAAATTTATGCGTTACGATCACATCGCCACGTGTTCTCCTATCAACGGAGTACGATGTCACATATCGTTCTTCTTCTATATGTGCCCAGCCTATTATTATGTGACCATGGCCTGTTCTCCATTGTTAATCAATAAGTGCTTATAATCATCAATTTTTTTTTTAAAGCACACAAATTGATTTATATCTAATCACTCACTAATTATGATCAACCACCCTAAACAATTGGTTAATTATTGCGTATCAGAATCAGCTTCTTTTTTTTATTTTTTATTTATTTATATAAATTTCATAATCTGATCATGATGATCTGATCATCAGTGAATCAAGGGCTGGCAACGCTGGCATTCTTTGGAGTAGGAGTGAACTTGGTGTTGATGCTGACGAGGGTGCTGGGCCAAGACAACGCAGAGGCTGCAAATAATGTCAGCAAATGGACTGGAACTGTTTACCTCTTCTCTCTTCTTGGCGCTTTCCTCAGTGACTCCTACTGGGGGAGGTACAAGACTTGTGCTATCTTTCAACTTATTTTTGTCATTGTAAGTTATTTGCTATACTTGCCATTCAAAAATACTATTCATCATATTTTTCTGATTTTTATTAAAAATTAAAGTGCTTCATTAAAAAAAAAAAACATTGGAAGCTGCTTTATAGAAGGGCTTATTTGGGAGTGCCAGAATCACTTACGGGAAGAAACATCTCCCACGTGCTTCTTCATATAATTACTTTAAGTGATTTTAAGCAATTATGGGTAAAATCACCTCCAATGTGTTTCTCCATAAATTTACTTAAAACCACTTAACATGATTACATGGAGAAGTGATTCTTCATAGAAGTGATTATTGGCCTATCCAGAATCACACTCCTCGAAGCTTTTATGATCCAAAAGTACTTTTAAGTTTTTCTGCCAAATACTATATAGTGCTTTTAGCCTTTTAAGATGCCGTGCCCAACAAGCCCTCAATCTCAAATATTTGTATGGAATATATTTATTCTCTGTGAATAATAGGGATCACATGGTTTATTGAAAAATAATAATAATAAAGATTGGTGTGACTACCTCTTCTCTCTTCTTGGCGCTTTCCTCAGTGACTCCTACTGAGGGAGGTACAAGACTTGTGTCTTTCATTACGTACATCATATGATCATATTTTTATGTTTTATAGCCAGTTATTTCTCGAAGCTTTTATGATCCAGAAGTACTTTTAAGTTTTTCTGCCAAATACTATATTAGTGCTTTTAGCCTTTTAAGATGCCGTGTCCAACAAGCCCTCAATCTCAAATATTTGTATGGAATATTTTTATTTTCTGTGAATAATAGGGATCACATGGTTTATTGAAAAATAATAATAATAATAATAAAGATTGGTGTGACTACCTCTTCTCTCTTCTTGGCACTTTCCTTAGTGACTCCTACTGGGGGAGGTACAAGACTTGTGCCGTCTTTCATTATATGTTACATCATATGATCATATTTTTCTGTTTTATGGCCAATTTGGAATTTGCTTTTGTAGGAACCACTTCTGCTTATAAATGCTTTTATTGAAAGTGCTTCTATTTGAAGAACGTCAAAATTTTTATTAAAAATCAAAGTGCTTTTTTCAAAAAACACTTTAAAAGAATTATTCTAAAACTAAGCACCACATTTTAAACAAGATTAACTACATCTTTTTATCTCTCCTCTATTATATTATATATAACATATATAATTTATAATAAACAACTTATAATTGAAGTTATAGTTCCCTCTAAAACAAATTAGACATGACTAAATTATAAATATTTAGCTCTAAACATGTAATTATTGAATACTTGGGTGTTTTATATACTTGTATTTTCTACTTCGCCCCCCCTAACTTTACAATTCTAGCTCCGCCCTGCCCTTATGATAAAATAAAAAAATTCAACTCTATAGATTGTCTTCCCTTTCCTCTTCTTTAGGTACATTGTGTTAAACATTATCTATATTTTTTTGTAAGTATATACTCATGTAAATTTGTTTGTTTGTTTGTACTTTTTTTTTCCACAGGGTTTGTCGTTGTTATCACTATCGACCTACATATTCTTACTCAAGCCTAAAGGCTGCGGTGATAAAAATTCTCCATGTGGAGACCACTCAGCCTTTGTAATCGGATTGTTCTACATCTCTATATACCTTATTGCCCTAGGAAATGGAGGCTACCAACCTAACATAGCTACATTTGGGGCGGACCAGTTTGATGACCAAGGGGACCCCAAAGAAGGGCAGTCAAAGATAGCCTTCTTTAGCTACTTCTACTTGGCTTTAAATCTTGGCTCTCTCTTTTCAAACACAATCTTGGGCTACTTCGAGGATAAAGGAATGTGGACTCTAGGGTTTTGGGCATCCACTGGCTCTGCTGCCACGGCATTGGTCCTGTTTCTTTGTGGTACTCCAAGGTACAGGCATTTCAAGCCTCAGGGCAACCCTCTCTCTAGGTTTTGCCGGGTGATGGTTGCTGCAACAAGAAAATGGAAGGTTGAGATGACGCCAAGTGGGGAGGATTTGTATGTGGAAGATGGGAAGGAATGCTCTCCAAATGATAGGAACATAGTTCACACCCATGGATTCAAGTAAGTTCATATGCTTTTTAAGATTTTTTTTTATTTTTAGGAACAAATTATATTTTTAATAGATATCATCAATAGTCAAACGAATGTGTGCAGGACTGCTTTTGTATGAAACACTTTTATGCTATATTGTTTTTATTAAAACCACGCCAAAAAAAAAAAAATCACTAATATACCAAAAGAACTCCAAATATAGGTCTCTTAATTCAGTAGTTTTAATAAATGCTAAACACAATCCATATGTTTTGATTATTTTCACCAGATTCTTGGATAGAGCAGCAGTCATCACATCGAAGGAGATGAACGACATGGACAACAAGGGAGCTCACAATCCATGGCGCCTCTGCACAGTGACACAAGTAGAAGAAGTGAAATGCATACTGAGACTCCTCCCAATTTGGTTGTGCACAATACTTTACTCTGTAGTTTTCACTCAAATGGCATCACTCTTTGTAGAACAAGGTGCTGCAATGAAGACCACCGTTTCAGGGTTCCACATTCCCCCAGCCAGCATGTCAAGCTTCGACATTCTCAGCGTAGCGGCTTTTATCTTCATCTACAGGCGGTTTCTCGATCCGCTTTTTGGCAGGCTTAGAAAGAAAGGACTCACTGAGCTTCAAAGGATGGGGATTGGTCTTGTCATTGCAATCATGGCAATGGTTTCAGCTGGAGTTGTGGAGCTTTTCAGGTTAAAATATGCAGTCAAAGAATGCAACAATTGTGAAAGTCCAAGCTCATTGAGCATATTTTGGCAAGTTCCTCAGTATGTGCTTGTAGGAGCATCAGAAGTGTTCATGTATGTTGGTCAATTGGAGTTCTTCAATGGACAAGCACCTGACGGGCTGAAGAGCTTTGGGAGTGCACTTTGCATGACTTCAATATCACTTGGGAACTATGTGAGTAGCTTGCTTGTTACAATTGTGATGAAAGTTTCTACCAGAGATGAAATGCCAGGATGGATCCCTGGAAACCTAAACAAGGGTCATTTGGATAGATTCTACTTTCTCTTGGCAGCTTTGACAACGGCTGATCTTTTGGTGTATATATTATGCGCCAAGTGGTACAAGTATATCAAGTTTGAAGGAAAGGGTGGAAATAACAATGGCGTGCACGATATTGGGCAACCTGATCCTGGAGTCTGATAAATTGATTTGGTTTCATCAATTTTTGACTGAGTTCGGTGGAATTGATGCTACGTCGGGTAATAAATAGACGGTCTGAAAAGAGGTAAAAATTATTCTATGTGCCGGTTATATCTTTTTGACAAAATGCATAGTGGTCTTAGTATGGAGTAGGTCTCATGTATGTTGTGAGAGAGATCATATATAGGGACATGGGTCTAGTAGAGTTGCAATGATACTAGAGAAATGCCTTTTTCATTTCTCCATGTTGAGCACAAGGTGTTGTAAACAATAATATGTAAAATATAATGTAACCTTTCATATATATATATACCCTACTATGTGTAATATAATGTCTTTCCTTAATTACTTGAAAGGGGTTTGAACAAAAGTTGGTCTTCCTTAATTACTATGTGTAATATATATATACCCTACTATGTGGTGGACTTGGTCTTCCTTATTTATTTTTCTATTTAAACAAAAGTTGGTGCTATTCCCACCCTCATTCTTATTTTCCAATTAACCACTTCTTTTATAAAAATTGAATTAGAATTTTGTTATGTTATAAAATTACCTAAATAGATATTTCTCTGTTTGGATGAGGGAAAATAACTTAGAATTTAGCCAAAAGTATGGAATTTAATAGGAGAAATTGACAATTTACTTATTTGGCAACTTAAGCGCGGAATTTATTAAATGACGCGCGGAAAAAGTCGTGGGAATTGGGGCATCAAATTCCCGAGTTTAATTTCCACTAAAATAGGCATCATTTCACAATTTCCGTATTGTCATTTACAAACTTCGACATACATAAATCCAAACATTGAAATCTTCAATTACTAGAAATTGAAATGATGGAAATCTAAATTCCGTCATTTTAGAATTCTATGTAATTTTCAATTCCTTCATCCAAATGGAGGGATGATAGGAAATTACTAGCAATCCATCTAGCATGCCCGCCCCTCTCGGATGTGCAAGTTGTACAACCGCATAAGGCCCCAAGCAAAAGGCCTCCAAAGGAAGATATAAGCCAACAATTAACGAGTGAGCTAGAAGCATAGGTGAAAAGAAAAAAAAAATGCGGGGAAGGTTTCGAACTTAGAAACCAAAGAACATAATAACATCAACAAATTAAGAACCCAAACCATATTTGGAGAATTCTAAACCCTAACATGTAAGATGGTTTTAGGTCAAAAACCACCTCTATGACATGGTTTGCGTTCATAATTTTCTATTGTTATTTGTATCATCTTCATTATTCATCCTCTGCATCTCTAATGGGCTCTATAATGCTCATACATTATAGAGAGAAATTTAAAAACTCAACTCCAACCACAATTTTGAATTAGGCCAGTTAGTGTGTCTACTTTCTTGCATCCGAGTTCAAATTCTCATTCTTCTAAATTAGAGTAGTGAGTCATATGGATGGTGTTGAAGCTTTGAGATGATGGGCTATTCTCTGGTGGGAACTTCTTTTTGCAAACCTCTTCTTGAGAACACCGTTGGATCAAATCTAACGGCTGCTAAGAAGCAATTGTAACTGAACATGTCTGAAACTGTTCCACTAGAACGCGGCCTCCACCCTCCAAAACATATGTATTTTGCTCTTGAAGACCACAATATCTCCCTCCAAAAAAAGTTTGTTCTCTCTGTCTATTTGTGTCTCTGTTGGTCCTGCAAATCTCACGACCTGGTGCTTCGGGCCGTGGGGATCTGCGTCAACACGTGTCGTCCTTCTTTGGTGCGGTACGGTTGTGCGCGGGCGTGCCAGCACGGTCTACCGTGCGTTTGAGGATGGTGCGATTGGGTGGATAGATGAGTTATGCGCTTGTTTGAGTTTAACTTTCTAATTAGAGCGATTGTGGCCGAGAGAGGAATTGATCTTGGCCGTCAGGTTCATGGCCTGAGCTACAAGGCTGTTGAATGATGGTGTTGATGGTGGGTTTTTAGGTGATGCTCCGGCGCGTTGCTGGGTAACAACGGTCATATGATATATGAGATGAATGAGAGAATAACAAGATGGTGCTCCGGCGCCTTGAGAATTAAGGGCCGTATGATATATTGATGAATGTATTTTCCTACAAGCTGTCACTACTCCTAAGAAAACAAGTAAAGGTATTGAAAGTGCATTACAGGAAGATAAATGACAGAAGGTAAATGACAGGAAAATATAATCTGCTCCGTGGGAGGCTTGTGTTTGGTGTTGAACCCTTTAGACGTAGTTAGAGCCCGATATTTATAGGAGAAGTCCTGAGGAGACAGCAAGGCTGAAAATCTGCATGATGAGGTTGATCATAGATAGTGGGTAGTCGAGTCGACATTTGGGAACGTGAAGCATGGTGGTATGACCCCCATAAATCCCGGCCGCCGCCCTGATCGTGGGTTCTGCGTCTTGGACCTTGGAGGAGCATTTAATGCTGTGGTCTGATGGTTGGTGACTTAATCTTACAAGTCGTAAGATTTTTGCACCTAATCACCCTGATTTCACTCACCATATCCTGACTTCAATCACTTCCCCCTTTCCCTTGCACATTAAATGCTCTTAAGTGGATCGTGGGCCCTCTGCTGTAGTCAGGGGCGTTACTTCATTAAATGAAGTGTGGGACCTTGACGCCACTTGACTTTCCTATTTTGGCCGTGTATCTGAGGAGTTATCACTCCCTTCGTCCGAGCTTACCAAGGCCGTGATGGCTTTGCCTTCACAGCTCACCTTTGTTTCACGAAGGGAAGCAAACAACGACTTGCCACGTTTGGCTTATGGGCAGGCGCTAGGGCCGAGAGGAAGCTCCTTTGGCTTCAGTCAGTTTTATCGGCTGAGATTTATCTGGTTTGATGATTGTGTGTCCGCGCATTCGTGAAGCCTTGAGGACCCATCTGGTTACCAAAAAAATTGGTGAGCGTGACACCTTGTTAGAATCTTTGAGCACGATCGAAAGTGGCGTTGACTTCGAATACTTGAGGATTCGAGACCCTTTGGTTCTGGAGTCGTCGGTTTAAAGTGTTGGAGCAAACTGGAAACTTGCGTTGAGTTGGAATCGTTGAGGAGAGGATGGTCAAAATTTTTTGGGGGTAGATGTGCCGCTCTAAATTGACGACATTATCATATTTGTTGAAATTTCGAAGCTCAAAATCAGTCACAAGGTAAGCGATATCATGTATTTGTGAATTCCAGTGGAGGAAATTATATAACTCAGTATATAGGCATGATTTGGAGTGAATTCGAGTAGGCTGTTTAATGTTCACTAGCGACTCCAAATGGTTCATAGCCTATTTCGTTTCAAACTCCATTATTTCCTAATGTTTGATAGTTTGTTTGATATTTGTTGAAAATTTGAAGATCAAAATCACTTATGAGATAACTGATATCCTGTATTTGTTAATTTTAATATACTTGAGGAAATGTTTTGACCAAGTATATGGGCATAATTTACGCTAGTTTGGATGTAGGTTGTTTAAGGTTTCAGTAGAGACTCCAAACGGCCTCGTAGGTGTAGCATTTTTATTCACTAATGGGTTCATAGATTATTTCGTTTCAGACTCCATTATTTACTAATGTTGCATAGTCTATTTGTTATTTGTGGAAATTTTGAAGATCAAAATCACTTAGGAGATAACTGATATCCTATATTTGTTAATTTCAGTGTACTGGAGGAAATGTTTTGACCAAATATATGGGCATAATTTACGCTATTTTGGATGTAGGTTGTTTAAGGTTTCACTAGAGACTTCAAAACCCTTCTTAGGTGTAGCACGTGTATTCACTAATGGGTTATAGCTTATTTCGTTTCAGGCTTCATTATTTACTAATGTTTGATAGTTTATTTGATATTTGTTGAAAATTTGAAGATCAAAATCACTTACGAGGTAATTCATATCCAGTATTTGTTAATTTCAGTATATTGGAGGAAATGTTTTGACCAAGTATATGGGCATAATTTACGGTAGTTTGGATGTAGGTTGTTTAGGGTTTCATTAGTCTCCAGAAAGCTTCGTAGATGTAGCAGGTAAATTCAGTAATGGTTCATGGCTTATTTCGTTTTAGACTGAATTATTTACTAATGTTTGATAGTCTATTTGATATTTCTGTGTTTATATTTTGCATATTGTATTGTGGTTAAAATAAATTTGAATGGTCTTTGAACACATGTGGCAATATTATTATGATGGTGATATGATTTTCAGGGTTAAATTGCAAGAATTGTGAAACGGAGTCTGAAGCAGAGGTGACACTGGAAGTTAGTGTGGAGTTCAAACCAAAACTAGGACTTGAATTTGATTCCCTTGAGGATGCGTTGAAGATGTATAATCTGTATGCACTAAATGCAGGATTTGGTGTTCGTTGTTCTACAACCAAAACATCAAGTGGGATAGGGGAGATAGTAAGGAAAGAATTTGTATGTTGTAAACAAGGGACAACCAATATTAGGGGTAAGAAAAGAAGGCGAGGATGGGTTCGAACTGGTTGCTTGGCTAAACTTGTTGTTTTGTTGCCATCTTTGAAGAATAAGTACATTGTTGTAGCCTTCAAGGAGGAACACAACCATGAAATGACAACATACGATAAAGTCCATTTGTTGAGATGCCACCGTAAAGTTACCGAGTCTGCAAAGGCATATAATGCATATCTTTCCAAAGTTAATATCTCAATACATCAACAATTAAGCCTTCTTGAGGTGCAAGCGGGTGGAATGGAAAATATTGGATTTTTAAGGAAAGATGTCTATAATTACCAAAGGGACATGTGAGCAGAGGTGACTGGCCATTATGCAGATCTTCTTAAGGAGCATTTTTTGGGTGAGCAAGAAAAAAATGAATCATTCTATTTCAAGATAGAGGTAGATTCAGAAGGACGGATGGTTAATGCATTTTGGGCAGATGCAAGGTTAAGATGAGTTTATGGGAGTTTTGGAGATGTGGTGGTATTTGATACGACTTTAAACACCAACCGCTATGGCATGGTGTTTGAGCCTTTAATAGGTGTTAATAACCATCTTCAGACAATATTGTTTCGTTGTGGTTTCCTAACCAGTGAAAGCACAAAAGCATTTGTTTGGTTGTTTGAGGAATTTAAGAAAGCCATGCCATGTGAGGCACCCAAAATGATCATTACCGATCAAGATGCAGCCATTGCAAAGGCGATTGCAGCAAGTCTCCCTACAACGTTCCATAGATATTGCATATGGCATATAATGAATAAGTTGACCGAGAAAGCCGACATAGCAGAATGTTTTTTAGAACTATGCAATTGCATATGGGATATGGACACCAAAGAAGAATTTGATGCGAAATAGGATGAAGTTATCACAAATAATGGACTGAAAGAGCATATGTGGTTGAGC